AGAGAGAGAGAGAGAGAAAGAAAGAGCTGACACGTGGCACTTCGCGCAGTCGACGACGACGGGCAGCGGCGGCGACAGTGACGAGGCGATGGCGGGCAGCGACGGGCGTCGACGGCGGGAGCAGCGACGGGCGTCGACGGGGCGGGCAGCAACGGGCGTCGACGGCGGGAGTGCGATGGGGCGGGATACTTCGAATTCGAAGCGGGCGCGCGCCAGAAAAAATTTGCGCGGGGGGGCGGGAGGCTCCCAAGGCCCAGAAATGTCGAAACAGGCCTCCCCCTCCCCCCGCGCAAAAATGCGCTGGGCCCGCCCGGCATCGAACCGGGGGACCCAACTGGCCGGGCCGCGCGGGACCCCTGCCGGACAGAGGCTGGGCCGCCGGGCGGCCCGGAATTTAACACAGCTTAATATGTTGGACTGTGACTGTCTCATCTCAAATGCTCTCGTTGTGTGCAATAGGACAAAGACTGCTTTGATTCTGAATCTATTCGTCTGGGTGGAATTGGGGCTGTTGTGGGGAAAACCTAAAACACACACACACACACACACACACGTCCTAGCTATGGCGCCTTGCACCGTTGACTACCCTACTTGAAGTCCTGAGCCAAGTCATCAGAGTTCGGCCACACAAGCACACAGCAGTGCTTCAGCAATGGACTGCTGTCACCTCACTGTAGCTGCTCTTTTGTACTTGGCTGCAGCTCCCAATGTTGGACTTTTCAGACTGGTACTGCTCCGTGGCATCCTAGTGCTGGACCATGCGTCCGATTTGTGTGACATTCTAGTCAATTCTGCTGCCATAAAGTAGGAAGGTTCTGTGCCATTTAACTTGATTCCCACAATTTCCCAGGTACCTAAGGGGTTGAGTCTTTCCCTGCCACTGCATACCTTGTGGTGTGGTGGCCGGTGTTGGCATGTCTTCCACCAGCCCGCAGTTTTATTCCCGTTTATTTCCATTTCTGAGGCTAGGTGGAAAGGCCTCCATGGCTCTTATCAGGGCTGGGAACGGAGAGTCCGAGGCTCTGTTGAGAACAGCGAGGTCGTCCGCAAAGAGAAGGGAGACAGACAGTGTTACATAATGCTCCTGCTGATTCGGGAGAACTACCAAACTTTATAAGGAGGGGTCCTTCCTTAGGAAGGATGCTATGGCTTCCATGTCGTGAGGCGGGGCCGCCAACGGGTTCAAGACCAACACTCACTCACATAGACTTCCAGGTATGCCCATACATACACAGAAGGAAGGGGAGAGGATAGAGATAAACACAGCGGAAGACTTGACCATGCGATATGACCGCTTACAGTGAAAGTGCAATCACTCCACTCAATCCTCACAACCAGTCATAAAGAAAAGCCGAGTAGATCAAATCCAGGAAACAATGAAACGATGATAGTCCAAACCCAGTTCCACACTGTTTATTAAACTCAGAGTCTTGAATTGTCAGGATAACTTCAATACTACAGTGCGCTGCTCAGAAATGAGCAGCGCTTCACTCCCCAACCCTGAGTAACCACTCGTAACACCCTGGAGCCCCTGAAACATCAAGCGCCACCCAGATACAGCCTCCACAGGGAAGCGCCACCCTGAAACAGGCCTCTGAGGCCAAGCGCCACTCAGAGGATGAAGAAGAAGACCAGCGCCACAGTATCTGATGATGACGAAGTGTCCGAAGACTTCCCGGATGGAAGTCTGCAGCAGCGCCACCAAACCCTGACAAGATGACCTCTGAGGAAGAAGCTGCACCTATGGCTGCAGCGCCACCACCCTGGAACCCCACTCCGGAGGAGGGTCCAGCAGGGCACCAACTTCTCTCGCCTCCAGCAGACCTCGATAGCCCAGACCTCTGTCAGCCCCTGCGTGCTGGCAGAGTACAGCGCAGGTCCCAGCTATGGCCGGCGCTCCGAAGGTCTGGCTATGCCTGTCTCCTTCCACACTGAGCCGTCACCACTTCCGGTTCACGTGTAGCGCAGCAGCGATGTACTCGGTACCAAATGTCAAAAGCCCTGAACCGATGTCCCCATCCTATCTATAGACTACAACTAGCCTAGACTCGACCTAGACCGGACTGACTGACTGACCGGTACTGATTCAGTTTCGGCCTCTCGGCCTCTACCTTACCCGGCTATAGGCTATAGGACCATCTATCAGCATAGGCCCTTAGGGCCTGTCTGTCCTAGGGGTAGCCCGGGCCTGCTATTCGCAGTTAGGGTAGCAGTAGGGAATTCAGTTAGTGTTGGGCCTGTATTTTCCCAATTTTGCAAGTATGTCCCTCAAAAGTTTCCGCTACAGGTAGGTCTCTCGGTTAGCCCTCAGCCAAACAAAATTACGAACCTACCCTACTTATAGTACAGCCTCGCCAGAGAGCGGCTACAGGCGACCAGAGAACAGCAAGTCATTGCATGTACCTGGCCATGCGCATCGTTTTAGAGTGTTCTGAGGCTAGGTGGAGGGCCTCCATGGCTCGTATCAGGGCCTGGAACAGAGAGTCCGAGACTCTGATGAGAACAGTGAGGTTGTCCGCAAAGAGAAGGGAGACAGACATTGTTACATAATGCGCCCACTGATTCGGGAGAACGACCAACCTTTACATGGAGCGCCGGGAGCGGTCCTTCCTTAGGAAGGACAGACGCTATGGCTTCATCATGAAGAGAAAAAGGGGGGCTGCCAACGGGTCGCCTTGCCTCACCGAATGAGTCATCTTGTAAGGGGGAAGAGAGGAATCCATGTCCCTTTACATGGCCATGTGCATCATTATAGAGTGTTCCGACCCACTTTCCGAAGGCCAAACCCACCCCCATCTTCTCCTTACACTGTTGTTGAAATCACCAATTGACCTGTGTAATGAACCCAGTCTCATCATCCAATCATGTCACAGATAACAATGCCGTGCAATACCATGAGATAATCAATCCACTAATTCCATCAGTTCGAAGTCATTGAAGTACATGTTTCCTCATTACCACGTGTATGTCTCAAAGTCCACAGTATCCAGAAAGAGAGGAGGGGAGAATAGACAGTTGGAAGGAGAAGTGTAAGTCCCTCTTCTCCTTCAGGCTCCCCACCTCTGCCACGTCAGCAATCTGTACTTAATGCGCCACGTCAGCAATATGCACTCAATGTGCCACGTCAGCACTGTGCACTCAATGTGCCATGTCAGCACTGTGCACTCAATGTGCCATGTCAGCAATATGCACTCAATGTGCCACATCAGCACTACGCACTCAATGTGCCACATCAGCAATATGCACTCAATGTGCCACGTCAGCACTACGCACTCAATGTGCCACGTCAGCACTCCGTGTAACACGTGGACGATGTGGGAGCAGTCCCTCGCAGATAAACGATCCTCCAGCAGCGAGCAGAATCGGCAGCAGCTTCACATCTGAAGACACCAGGTACGTACGCACGACGACTCACATCACTCACACACTCTCTCTCCCTCTCCTCATTCCCTCGATGTCATCTACTGTCGCGGCCGTGGCCGCCCTTTCCCTCTCTCTATACTACAGTGTCTGGCTGGCGGCCATCCAGCACCTCCTCTCAAGTCTCACGTGCAGCGTCGTAGCCGCAAGCAACTCGCAAGACTGAATGTCCAAGCAGTGGTGAGGTCAACTTAATGTAGTGTTGAGTCGCCTGTCCACGGTCATCGTCAGTCCGTGTGAGGGCCCGGATTTTCCAATGTGTCCCAGTTTCCGTCTGGACTCCTTGATGCCTGAATCTTCCGGAACCTGCAGACCACTGTTAGATCATTCCAGGTCGACGGCCAGGAAAATCTTCTCTACTGACTTTGACTTCTCGGAGCTGGGCCTGGGTCCACGAGCTGACTGTTGACTTTTTGGTCAACTGTCGGCGTGGGCCTTTTCTAAGGCCTGTTTGACCCCTCTATTTTCAAGCCTGTCCGTTCGTGCTTGTCTGCGGGCGCAGCAAGGACCCAGCGGCTCCATTTGGCACACAAGTTACAGCACCTGGTCATATGCTTTTTCAAAGTCCACGAACAAGATTGCAGCATTCATTCGTTTGTCCATAATATATCTCACAGATTCCATCAAGGTCATAACATTATAAAGTATGAAGCGCCCCGGAACGAAAACTGTCTGATCAATGTGGAAGCAACTTCCTGCGATCTTGCTCAACCTATTCACCAACAGTTTAGCTATGGCCTTATATGTTACCGGTCTGCAGTTTCTAATATTGGCAGGGTCACCCTTCTTATGTAAGATTGTGACCACTCCGTGCTTGTCTGTTCGCCCAGTCTCCCCGCAGTGTTGCTACAGTAGAGGAGGTTCTGATATTGGTTGTGAAAAATTGGCCACAAGCTCAGCCAAAATTCCTTGGATAGCCCATCTCTGCTGGGCGTCTTGCCGGACTTCAAATAACACAGAGCTTGTTCCACTTCCTGCTGCATCACAGGCCTATCAACTTAGTATCAAGAAATTCTGTATGTTCCATTGTTCTGTTGAGAAGAGAGAAAAATTTTGTCCTCGCTTCGTGTACCGCAGCCGGTTGGGTTGCTTCTTTAGAGGTGTAAAGCTCTTTAGAGACTGATGCTGCTATCTTTAGCATTGGTTTCCTAACTTTCCTCCTTTTTTTTTCCTTTTGAAAAAAAAAGGGGGTATCCCCTAGCCTTATTTTACCAAACAGGATTTCAACGAACCCTCTTTTTGTTTATCACCAATTATCCATTCGATGATGCGCACCTTTTTGCCACACCAAGCCCCCACCCTAATCAGTCAGTAAATCAATCACAAAACATCGCCTAGTTTTCCTTTTTGTCCTTCGTCCTTTGCCACGTCCCTGCCTCCTTCCCTTCCCCCCTTGCTCTCCAGTTCTTCAATTTCTTTTCATTTTCAGCCTAGGCTTTCTTCATTTCTTGGAGGTTAACTAAGCATGAGGACATTTGTAGAGACCTGTTTATTGACATAAATTCCCCGTACCTTACCCGTGCCATAAAACATTGCAACCCATCCCTTGACTTGTCCCTCTGTTCCCCTTTCTAGAACAGGAGGATGTTGCCGAGATGAAAAAGAAAGAGGCTGCCAACGAGAAGCTGATGTACGAGATAGCACAAGAAAACAAGAGGTTATCGGAGCCCCTTACCAAGGCCCTGAAGGAGGTAGAGGTGCTTCGAAAGCAACTGGGCTTCTACGAGAAGGTACACTATAGTGATGCATGCCACCCTCTGCATTGACCGTTTCGCTTCTTCTGAATCCTCAGTCGACGATTGTAGTTCATTTTTGCATTCCTTACGGCTGCAAATTGCGAATGTACTCCCCCTAGAATTGCCAATGCTTCTTTTTTCTTTCTTTCAAACCGCATTGGCAATCCCCCCTCCCCCCCCTACCCAAGTATGAGGTCTGATTCATGCAGCTACTGTGGTATGGTGACAGCAGGTGTTTTCATGATGGCAAGGTGTTCTCCTTTATTTGAACACGCACCCGAGGCTTTAATAATTTAATTGTAAAAAAAAAAGAAAAATAAGAAAAAGCCAATGCTTCAATGAGAAGCTGATGTATGAGATAGCACAAGAAAACACAAGGTTATCGGAACCCCTTATCAAGGCCCTGAAGGAAGTGGAGATGCTTTGAAAGAAAATGGGTTTCTATGAGAGAAGGTTCACTATAATGATGTACGGCACCTTGTGCATTGACCATTTTGCTTCTTATGAATCCTTAGTCAACATCAACAGTTGTAGCTCATTTTTCCATTCCTTAAAACTGCAAATTGTGAACATACTCCCCCAAAAATTGCCAATGCTTCAGTGCACCCAGAGTCCAGGCCTTATGTACAGGAGTCCTGCACCTGATCTTTCACACTATAAACATTTCAGCAGGGCCAGTTTGACTATGTGGAACTTTTAAGGGGGGTATTGGACAATGAGCCCACTTTATGATTGAAGCAGTGAGATACTGAGGGAAAAACGGACAAAAAGCCATGGTTACGCCGGACCCAAACACTGGACCAATCCGGACGTCCGGCTGGACCTCTGTCTGGACTGCTTCGGAAAACGGTTAAAAAAACGCTAAAACAAAACAAAACAAAACAATTTTCCTCCCCCTCCTTGGATTTGGCTACGAATCTCGAGATGATCCTCAGCCAGAAGAGTTTTGTATTGCAATGATGCATAACATATCGTTTGTTTCAGTTTTTTTTTTTTTTTAAAGTCTGAAACGGTTTTCACCTTTTGCAGTCACAGATGCGGATCCCAGGGCTCGATCCCCAGACCTTACCTTACCTTACCTTCCCTGTGTACAGTATCAAGTCGACCCTGTGGGTCGTGAACCCGTGACCTGTGTGTTAGTAGTTGAAAGTTGTTTGTCATAAGTCTGAGTAGTTGTCGGGTCTTGAACCTTAGACCTGTCGAAGTAGGGGTCATACCTGCATAGGGGTCATAGTTGTTGCAGTTCTGAAGGGTCAAGGTTGTAGCTGCTACAGTCCTGAAAGGCCAAGTCCGCAAACTTCTGGAAGGTCCGAAAGTGGCCTTTCAAGTTTCTTCTCACGTTGTACACAGCAGACCAGAGGCAAGTGGGCAAGTGGTGAGTCCAACTTCGCTTAGTCAGCGGTACCCAGTCCCAGTCTCACTTTGTACAGTCAGCAAGTACCATGAGGGACTGTGCGCACCATGGGCCCGGTGGAAAAGGGCAGACCAACGACTTACAGAAGTATGAATCAAGAGGCAGCGTCCAGCCAATTCATTCATTCCTGTGTGAGCCATGCGGAAGTGCTGCCAGGCGTCTTGTGCGAGGTGGTCTGCAGATGCCCGAGGTCGAAGTGGGCTGAAGAGAGATAGAGTGTCCATAGCCAGTAGGGATCAGGCACCCATAGCCGCTGTAGTTTAGAGGTGGAGTTCAGTGTGTGTGTGTATGGTGCTGAGTGAGTGTGCACGGGATATTCAGGGAGATCCGGAGTCGAGTGTGTGTGAATAGTTGGGTGAACAGAGTGTTGGACAGAGGATGTGTGGGCGCTCAGGCGACATCGCCAGCTGGAAGCGAGTTTGTATCTGAACTGTGTTCTTGGCTTGATTATCTCTGAGCTTTGTGTGGGCGCACAGCGCCAGTGTGAAATTGCCATCTGTTTACCTGTATGCGAAGTGAAGAAGATCGCGACTCTGATTGCATTGGTATCAGAGCTGGTTCCCGTTATCCCACGCGCCATCGTTGTCTGGGCGCCATAGCTGTAGCTGCGCCATCGAAGGAGGAAGAAAGAGTCCGCCATAGCTGCGCTGCAGAAGGAGGCGCCACGTACCTGCAAACAAGACAACGACGCGCGCGCGCGCGAGAGAGAGAGAGAGAGAGAGAGAGAGAGAGAGAGAGAGAGAGAGAGAGAGAGAGGAGCGATACAAGATTGGTTGTGCGGTTCAAGACAGGAGGTGGCGGCCATAACCGCTGAAGCTCGGACACAGGGCCACCAAGGAGAAAGAAGGCGAAGTGGAGGAGAAGGGAGGGACGAAGGAGAAAGAAGCCATAGCTGAGGAAGGAGAAGGGAGAGACGAAAAAGGGAAAAGAAAGACATAGCCAGGGTGAAGGAAGAAGCAAGTGAGAAAGAAGGAAGGAGGGAGAAGGCGAAGTGAAGGTTGAAGGGAGAAAGGTGTTGGCAGCCATAGCCGAGTAAGATGTTGACGAGGCGTTGACCAGAGAGTTGACCGGCATTGACCGAGGCGTTGATCAGGGTGTTGACTGAGGTGTTGACCAGCGTTGACCGGGCAGTTGACCAACGTTGACCAACGTTGACCAGCGTTGACCAAGGCATTGACCGGAGCTGTTGACCACGAAATTGGCCAAGCCTTCAGCCTATCCCCTCGCCCTATGGATGTGCACTCACCACATGGTACTTGTTGAGTCCGTCTGTCTCTTCTTTCTGCATTGAGTCTCTTATGTCCAGGTGATAGGAACTGTGTGTATGAGGTCGTAGAGCTTTGTTGACCAAACCCACATGGGCTGAGTAGGGCTAAAGGCCGTGTCTGACGACTGACTGACTGACTCGGAGGACAAACCCTCCCAAGGACCGGTACATACCGGTGGGCTGCTCAGTGTGGCATGGAAGGCCCAAAATCCGAGTTGTGGGCTGCACAACAAGCTGTCTAAGCCTTGAGAGGACTTGCTGATTGCGTCGTCATGTCTTTGACGTTAAATAATTCCTGAGGAGTTACAGGGGATCTGCTTAAATGCCTCCTGATCAGCATTAAGTCCTGTAGTGACAACTGTAGTATTAGGTCCAGGCTAGTGACCATAGTTGACAGGGTCCTATACGGATCCTGTAGTCCTTAGACACTCAGTCAGTCCAGTGGGTAGGTCTAAGTGGTGAGGAGTGGGACAGTCATTGTCGTGCACCGAACACCATGGATGACTACCCTATGTACGGTCTGCTTGTGGGGTTCTTCCTTTGGGGGACCCTCCGGCGTCTCCTCTTTCCATTGGGGTCTTGGAACACCTTTACGTGTAGAGTAGAGACCAGGGGTGGTGCTAGCACCACTAACCTCCCTGGGCGCATTCCTTAAGTTGTTGAGCGAGAGATTTGTCGATGTCACTAGAGGGATTAGGGCTTCAGATAAGCTTCAGACCATCCACTCACGACAGTGGAAGAGTGCCAAGGCACTCAAGGCAGTAATGGATGAGTTGGTAGCTGTCCCTGACCATGGGGTCACTGAGACCCAACTGGTCAACGTATTCTATCGTGCCATGCCTGAGCAGTTGCGCGGGCACTCTTTGAGAAGAGCCAGGAGTCTACCATGACCTACGATACTCTGAGTAGGGAAGTGGTAGCGTTTGAAGCACGGTCCACGCCAGTTTCCACTTTTTGGCATAAGGACCTTGACAAGGGCAAAAAGTGGAAGGGTCGTATCATTTCTGGCGAAGTCAAGGCCAAGGATCATTTGATCGTGACTCTAGATGAGGGTGGTATGGAAGAGGTCCCATATGACCAAATAGAATGGGGCCTGGAGGATGAGGGCAGTAGCGATAGTCAGGGGAGGACTTACACTGCTGTTGCAGCTGGAGGGAGGTCGCAAGGTAGAGGAGGAGGCTGGGACCAAGGAGGTCAGGCTTCCGGTGGTCGAGGACAGGGCGATCAGGGGGTTGGTGGCAGAGGAGGCCGCCAAGCGGGAGGTAGGGGTCAAGGTCCCCCGCAAAACCACTCAAGTTTCAATCGGTCACCTAGAAGGGGTGAATGGCATCCTGGTCTCCCGCAAGGCAGGCCTTGGGAGGATCTAGGCTTAGAGTTGGCAGTAGAGGATAAACCAAGATCAGTGCATTTATTGCGGTGATCCTGGACACATCATAAAATACTGCCCTAAATATAGAGAAGCCCGGTTCGCTGCACAGGCAGCAAAAGGCAACCGCCGGTATGGGTTGCAACTGCCCCTATCACTAGACCATGTGGAGAAGAGTGCGCGCACCACACAAGAACTCCCAAACCTCGTGTCTATGGCAGAGGTTGCTGGCCAGTGTCTAGATAGCTGTCCAGAGACTGCTTGTGTTAGGGTCTCTCTAGGCACCTCCCTCACATGCGTGGCAGAAGAGTTGAAGGAGAGAATGCATGTCTGGGCCAAGATGAAGAAAGATACGAAAGGACAACTAGTTCTAGTAGATGTAGAAGCTTTTAGAGGACGAGTAGGGGCCCTTGATAGATAGTGGGGCCACTCGTGTTATATCAGTAGAAAAGCACTGCAGAAGTTAAGGTTGAATCTTAAGGTCCAAAAGTTAGAAGACACCATGGTCAGTACCCTCGCAGACAACCGCACTATGTGAGTCGAGGATTATGTAGAGGGAGTCCAAGTGTACCTTACATGGTCCTAGGAATGGACTGGGGAGAGGCAGCAGGGGCCATACTCCACTTGAGAGAGCACGGGTGTAGGCTCCCTAGTCCATCAGGCGAAGTCAAGACTGCTCGTCTGTTCCGTGTGTCAGGAGTAGACAACTCCTTGGCACATTGCTGTCTCAATGCTCCCGTGTTCGCACGATTAGTGAAGAAGGAGTAACTGGAAGAGTAGGTTTTTGTAGCCTATGTTAGGCCTGCCACTGAGCCTACGGGAGAGAAACCCCTTGATCCGGCTATTGCCAAGCTGTTGGAGGAGTATACAGATTTAGCCAAGCCGCCTACAAGAGTAGTGCAGCGATCAATCCAGCATCGCATTGAGATAGAGCCTGGCAGTAGGACTCCTAAGGGAGCTATCTATAGAATGCCCCCAAGGGAGTCAGAGGAGTTGCACAAGCAATTAGACGAGCTCCTAGAGAAGGGTTGGATTAGGCCCAGTTCGTCTCCGTTTTGAGTGCCTGTTCTTTTTGTCCCCCAAAAGGAGGGAGAGCTTAGAATGTGTATAGACTATAGAGGTCTCAATGTCGTCACAGTGAAGAATGTCAAACCACTGCCCCGTATAGATGATCTGTTGGATCGGGTGCAGGGTTGCAAGTACTTCTCTCAGATAGATCTAAAATATGGCCGTCATCAGATAGAGGTACATCCTGACGACCAGTACAAGACGGCATTTCGGACTAGATATGGGCACTATGAGTTTATCGTAATGCCCTTTGGACTAACCAATGCGCCAGCTTCGTTCCAGCGTTGTATGAACGATCTGTTTAGGCCATGGTTAGATAGATTCATATTTGTATATCTAGATGATATCCTAGTCTTTAGCAAGACCCTCCAGGAGCATGAGGGCCATCTGAGGCAGGTCTTGGAAAAGCTAAGGGAAGTTAACTTCAAGATCAACGCGAAGAAGTGCGAGTGGGCCGAGATGCAAGTTTTGTACTTGGGCCACGTCTTAGATGGAGATGGCATAAAGCCTGAGGATAGTAAGATAGCAGCGATCAGAGATTGGCCAACGCCTCGCACTTTGACAGAATTGCGGTCGTTCCTAGGCCTAGCCAACTATTATAGGAAATTCATAAGGAACTTTTCCACCATCGTTGCACCCCTTCGCAGGTTGTTAAAGAAAGAAGCAATCTGGGAGTGGGATAGAGACTGCACATCGTCCCTGAAGAAGTTAAAGCGGGCCTTGATAGAGTGTCTAGGTCCTCAAGGTAGTTGATCCATCTTTACCTTTTGTTGTGACCACTGACGCAAGTCAGTATGGGATAGGTGTTGTGTTACAGCAAGATGATGGCAATGGGTATAGACCCGTAGAGTTCATGTCTGCTAGGATGCCTTCAGAGAAGGTTGCGACATCTACCTATGAGAGGGAACTCTACGCTCTCAGGCAAGCTTTAGACCATTGGAAGCATTACTTGCTTGGGAGGCACTTCAAAGTCTATTCAGATCACGAGACGTTGAGGTGGCTGAAGACGCAGGCCAAGATGACACCTAAGCTTAGTAGGTGGGCCACAGAGATGGACCAATTCGACTTTGAGCTCAAGCCGGTTAAAGGGAAGTATGATGTAGTCGCGGATGCTCTAAGTAGGAGGGCTGATTGCTTTGGAGCAATAGTTCATTATCTGGATATAGGGCGAGGCCTGCAACAGAAAGTCAAGGAATCGTATGCGTAGGACCCTATCTATAGCGATCTCCTCAAAAGAGTTAGAGAGGCTCCAGAGATTGAACCAGATTACCGCACTACAAACAGGTTGTTATCCGAGAAGACTAATGTAGCCGATCGTTTATGCGTTCCCAACAGTGAAGAGATCCATACTCGGATCTTAAGGGAATGCCACAACACAGAGGGACATTTTGGTTGACAGAAGACGTTAGCCAACCTTATTCGCACGTATACGTGGCCAGGTATGAAGGCTGACTGCATAGAGTATGTACGCAGTTGTAAAGTGTGCCAGCGAAATAAAACCACTACGCAAGCCCCTCTTGGTCTTCTCAAAACCTTACTCATTTCCGATGGGCCCGGAGACTCTATATCCATCGACTTCATGGATGCTAAGGTCAGAAATAGACATGGCAAGAGCCAAGTCATGGTGATAGTTGATAGATTTAGTAAGTATGCAGTGTTTGTTCCTTTGCCTTCAGAGGCACGAACAAATTTAGTTATACAAAAGTTTTTCGATTATTGGGTCAGTGAACATGGTTTACCGCTTTCTATAGTTAGTGATAGGGATACCAGGTTCACTAGTCAGAAATGGCAGGAGTTGATGAGAGTTGAGTTGATGAGAGTTTACGGATCTAAGTTATTGATGTCATCTGGCCGTCACCCAGAGACCAACGGTCAGACTGAGCAGATGAACAAAGTCCTGCAGCAGGTTCTGAGAATGTACATTAGACCTGACCAAGTTAACTAGGATGAGATGCTCCCAAAGGACCCAAAGGTAGCCAGTGCCTATAATAACAACGTGCACTTAGCCACTTGCCGCACTCCCAACGAATTGCATAAGTCCTTCAGACCGTGTAGACCGTTTGAGGGACTCAACCGGGATCATATTCAAAGGCTACCGCCCGGAACTAGGGAGTTCGCGATACACCATGAAAAAGATATTGCTACTGTAGTAGAGAACCTCAGGAAGGCCCAGCATAGAATGATAGAGCAAGCCAATAAGCACCGTCGCCCATCACAGTTTCAAGTAGGCGAATTAGTCTGGGTCAAGTCCAAAGAGTTTGCTCCTGAGGAGAACATCTCGCAAAAGTTACTGCCTGCATACTGAGGACCGTGGCCAGTCTTAGAAGTCAAGGGCGGAGAGGATGGACCGTCCTACACAGTCGAGTTTCCAGCGCACCTCCACACCTACCCGGTGTTTCATGCGTCAAAGTTGCTGCCTTGTACGACAAGTCAACAATTTCCATCACGGAGGTCCATGATCCCTCCGGACATGGATGGAAGATACGACATTGACGGCATCGTAGGTGAGGATGTCTTCAGAACAGGAGGTAGGGGTCGTCCACAGAAACAGTATAAGGTCAGGTTCGCTTTTCAGGAACCAGAGGACGACGGCTGGTTTACACGAACAGAACTGCTTGAGACTGCTCCCGAGGTAGTTCGCGCCTATGAGAGAGATAAGAAAGGTCCAGCCTTGGACTGAAATATTCTCGGAGGACCTCGAATTTAGCCCGGCGGGAGTGAAACGGTTTTCACAGACCTTACCTTACCTTACCTTCCCTGTGTACAGTATCAAGTCGACCCTGTGTGTCTTGAACCCGTGACCTGTGTGTTAGTAGTTGCAAGTTGTTTGTCGTAGGTCTGAGTAGTTGTCGGGTCTTGAACCTGACCTGTCGAAGTAGGGGTCATACCTGCATAGGGGTCATATTTGTTGTAGTTTTGAAGGGTCAAGGTCGTAGCTGCTACAGTCCTGAAAGGCCAAGTCCGCAAACTTCTGGAAGGTCCGGAAGTGGCCTCTCAAGTTTCTTCTCACGTTATACACAGCAGACCAGAGGCAAGTGGGCAAGTGGTGAGTCCGACTTCGCTTAGTCAGCGGTACCTAGTCCCAGTCTCACTTTGTACAGTCAGCAAGTACCATGAGGGACTGTGTGCACCATGGGCGGGGTGGAAAAGGGTAGACCAACGACTTACAGAAGTATAAATCAGGAGGCAGCATCCAGCCATTCATTCATTCCTGTGTGAGCCATGCGGAAGCACCGCCAGGCGTCTTGTGCGAGGTGGTCTGCAGATGCCCGAGGTCGAAGTGGGCTGAAGAGAGATAGAGTGTCCATAGCCAGTAGGGATTAGGCGTCCATAGCCGTTGTAGTTTAGAGGTGGAGTTCTGTGTGTGTGTATGGTACTGAGTGAGTGTGAGTGGGATATTCAGAGATCCAGAGTCGAGTGCGTGTGAATAGTTGGGTGAACACAGTGTTGGACAGAGGATGTGTGGGCGCTCAGGCGCCATCGCCAKCTGGAAGCGAGTTTGTATCTGAACTGTGTTCTTGGCTTGATTATCTCTGAGCTTTGTGTGGGCGCACAGCGCCAGTGTGAAATTGCCATCTGTTTACATGTATGCGAAGTGAAGAAGATCGCGAGTCTGATTGCAAGTCGGATTTTCTTTGTTTGGGGGGGAGGAGGGGGGGAGGGGCAGTTGGTGGATCTGGACATCTGGACCAGACACTTAACCCGGACATCAAGACCCGGACCGTCACTGCACTGCGATCCGCATGTCCGGAGTGTAACTATGCCCATGCCAAACATAATGTTTGTCTTAAGGGGTTATAGTACCGCTATACATGACTGACCGGGAGTCTGATCTGATGCTTTTTTGTCCTAATTGTCATCCTCCTTTTCCACCTGTGTGTGTGTGTGTGTGGACTTTTCATGAATCAGGACAAGCTTTCACTTCAGCAAGCACGGGCAAGGCTTCTCCAGACGGAGAAACAGCTGAAGAATGTGGAGTGGGAGCAGGAGGTGCTCAACCAGAGGTTCCAGCATGTAAGGCAACTGCTTCCTCTTGACATTTCCCCTTTCTGCAGTTTCCTCCCTATTCGCTAAAGCTTCCCCATCCTTCCTTCACGAAGTCCATTGCTCTGAGGTTTTCTCTGCAGTAGCTTACAGTCAAGCGCTCAGTTTGATCCCTGTACTGAAGATTCACATCAGGATCTTACTGGCACACGCTATTTAGGAGAACTACACAGTGCATATATACTTGAAAGCAGTGTTACCGGCGTTCAGGTCCAGCCGAGTCGTTCGGCTGGAACCTTCGAACGTTTGGGTCCCCCTGGAGACGTGTTCGGGTTCAGCCGAATGCAAAAAAAAAAGAAAAAAAAAAGAAAAGAAAAGGAAGTTAAAAAAACCCACTTTGCAGACAAACAAACAAACAAACAAACTCCCCTCCTCTCTCTTGCGCACTCCCCCGCTCTCTCGCTTCCTCCCCCCTTCTCTCTCTCTGTCTCTGTCCCTCTCTCACACACGCACACACACACACACAAACACTACCCCTCTCTGTCACACACATTCCCCTCCTCTCTTACACACTCCCCCGCTCTCTCACACACACTCCCCTCCTCTCTCTTACAAACTCCCCCGCTCTCTGTCTCTGTCTCTCTCTTACACACGCACACACCGGAACCTTCGAACGTTTGGGTCCCCCTGGAGACGCGTTCGGCTTCAGCCGAATGCAAAAAAAAAAAAAGAAAAAAAAAAGAAGTTAAAAAAAAGAAGTTAAAAAAAAAAGTCTTAAAAAAAAAAAAAAA